TTCTCCAGGCTCTAGTGAGGGCTTTTTTAGCAGAGGAGTTACCTGAGCCTGCAGAGTGACTGTAGGCTTCTTACGTGTAACTTATAAGTTACATAAGGATAACTTAACTTGTTTCATTACCAAATAACTTTCTCTTATGCACTCGCTGTGTTAATATTCATTAATTCGTTGTGAGAGAGCAGCAACTGTGGTGAGCAGAAGGTGTGCAGTGGAAATGGCTTTGCTAAATGCGTGTTACTGACGACTACTGAATCTTTGCTTCCTTCATGTTGTCTTCATTAGCAGCATTGGAAAGTTACAGGAGAAAAAACTAGCAGACCAAACTGACCAATCACAATTTTTGTGGTCCCCATGTGTTTCGGTGTAGCCACTGCAGTCTGGATATGTAGTTACATGTTTGTGGAGCTCAGGACATAAGCCACAGCATAGATATAGAGCCTACACAGGTAGTCACCATAGGTAAGGCATAACTACCTGATGTGATCTGAAATCAAGCTTTAACGTAAGCTCTGAAAACACCTAGTTAAAGTGGCAATAGGCAACTTTCTCCCATAGCATTTCCAAGTGCTATTATTGTTGACGCTGCTATCTCAAATAAGAATATAGTAAAATTAATCACTGCTCATTTTAGAAAGGTCACTGCCAGGAAATGTGGTATTTGTTCATCAATCGGACAATGAATCGTTTGTTACCGGCTGCTTGGGGTAGTGTTACCAACATGGCTACCCTGATCAGTCTGGCTACTGTCCAAAGCAACAAAAAAACTATAAGAATCCCAATTTCAACTAGAAACCCAGATTTCAGTGCTATAATAAAGACAGAGTAAAACACTGATTGTGTTAATAAGTATGCAGGTTTTGTTACTTACTGATGTAGTAGGAATGAGGCCAACTGAACGTCAATTTTTTCTCAAGTCTCGTAGCTCTCTCACAGTCAGACTTGCCAGGTTGGCCACCACATCAGTGTCCCAGTGAAGACTAAAAAAATACATAAAGTTGGTCCCAATGGACAAATCCAGGGCTGACTTTCTGTCCCAGTCTGACCATGGCTATATCCACTGAGTGAATGCCTGTCTGAGGTTCACTCGTTTTACCTCAGTTTCTATCACGCTCCATCTTCTCCTTTGCCTCCTCTTTTTCTATTCCCGAGGAGGGTTTCAAAAGTTACTATGGTTGTTCCACCATCCACCATTTCCTACCTGGGGAAAGCTACTAATAGCTACGGGGAAAATAAACGCACTATCCTCTCTCTGTTTAGTTTCTCAGTCTGCTTTTGTGCTATGAATCGAGTCTTCATTTTTCCACAAAACTGCAGTCCTGGTGTCAGAAAGAATTGCATAGTGAAAGTGACCAACATTTACATCATAATTATAAGTTAAAACAAAAAAATTGTATATTGTCACTTGGAAGTAGAATGGAAGTGGAATTACCTCTTCAAATTGGGTTGTTAAACAAATTAAGCCCTTGATCAAGAGATTTACTTATGTAGGAATATGGCTGTCAAGAAAACTCAGGAAAAGCCAGGATTTCCACTCTTTTCTAATGTTATCAAAATCCTCTACATGCAAGACTGAGCTATTCAGACAAAGAGAAACCACCAGTCTTTCACAGACAGTAAAATGTTAGTCAGTCTTTACAATATGCCATTTACCCCACATCTAGGCAGCACTTTTTTAGAGCTGGGTACATTGGACTCCTCTTGGCATTAGGTAATAGATATAAGGAGAATGTGTAGAAGCTATAGGGAGTCATTTAAGTGGTACAAGTGTTTGAGGGGATACATTAAAAAGCTATGCGTGAAATATAAAGATTTCTTTCATGACAACCGGGGTTGGCTCTTCTTTATCTGAAAATGACATGACATGAGGGACCTGGGTGTTGAGTCTGTTGTCTGGCCTCTCGTGTTTCTCATAACCAGGCAGGACATTTCCCATCTGCAGGTCTGGCCTTGTACCACAGTCAAGTTTGTGACGCTTCATTTTCTGTCGTTTGGGTTCGGCCCGAGTCTTATTTCAAGGTTAGCTCTTCCCCTCGGCCCCTGAAAAGAAAGAGGGAGAGAGAAAAAGTGCGAGCAAGAGGGAGAGAGAGAGAGAGAGAGGATCCTCCAAGGTCACTTTCAGTGTCTCTCCGTTAGAGTTGGTGAGTTCCTGACAAGACAGAGACAGTTTCAATTTCTCACAGACTGTCAGGAGCTCCGTGTTTTTTAAATGCCTGTGAGACAGATGTAAGCAGAGGAAGATGTTCCCTGACTTTTCAGTGTTATCTGAGGAGCATTCTTTTCTCCGGCCTTATCTCTCTGTCAGTAATGGGCCTTCAGTGATTCCTGCCAGATAGCTGCTGCGGATAGACTGTTAGGCAGGCAGATAGAGCAAAGCTTTCCCAGATACTGTAGATCTAGACCAGGCTGTTTTTCCACATGTTTCTGCCCCTTGGTGATTGGTAAATCCCACTGAATGGCAGTTTGACAGACACCGCACCTCTGCTTCTTAGTGGAGTGGAAGAAAAAAACAAAAAGAGATGAGTGATTGATCCGAAGTGCCTGAAGTGTTGCATGGTGAACTTTCTTTGACCACATCCTCAATCAAAAGTACAGTAAAAGTCATCTTCTTCTTCAAGGTGTGATGAAGACATGGATCAGAGATCTTTGATGTGACAGATCGTGGATATCTTCATCTGACCCTCCTGACTCTGAGCTTGTTGCGGCTTTTATTGTTTTGTGAAACAATTCACTGAGGAGAAGGATGCTATGTCAAAACTGTGTTTAGAGCTTTGACGCTAAAAGGAAATAGAAACTTAAAAGAACGCAAACTGCATGCGCCTGTATGTGTGCAAAAGTGACCTAAACAATATCGACCTCCTGTTGACAAGTTAATGATAAGTTAATTGCCTGGTGAGCAAATGAACTTATAGTCCTCACATTCTCTCCAAGATAAAACACCCAAAGGTAGCTTATCCTCCCTAAAGGCATCCAGTTAACTCTACAACTTCTTACTTTAATTCACTATGACCGATTAATGTTTGGGGAATTGGCGAGGAAACGCAGAAGGGGGGAGTGGAAGGGCTGATAAGAGTTGAAAGCAGCAGTGGGGAATGGAGTTGTAGTAATAAGCTGGACTCCTGCTGTCTCCTCTTTGGGGAGATCCCCACTAGTGCTGTCCCAACTGTAGTGTGAGGAGAGGCTCAGCCATGGGTCTTCAAAGTACTGCTCTGTTATGGATGAACTCCTTTGTACTGCTATTATCCATTCAACGCACCATATCTGACGACAGCTCCCATCCTTCAAACAACTACAAGTCTAGGCTGTGCCCAGCGGAGCGAGAGTTCTGACTCAATGAAAGATTCCCAACAACATCACTGGAGCACAAGGCGGTGCTTTGGTATTTCCAGATGTTTGGCTTACGACTAGAGAGATGCAGATCCAGTGCCTAATCATAACACTTGTTGCTTTGGAGTATGTTTTACTCCTGTTGTGGATGAGATTGGTTTATCACTGACATTTGACTTGATCTCCATTTATTTTGGAGTATGTAAATTACTAGCTGCTGCAAGAGGAGACAGAATGCTACATGAAGATATCATACTATGTTGGTGTTAACCCCCCCCCCCGTGTGTGTGTGTGTGTGTGTGTGTGTGTGTGTGTGTGTGTGTGTGTGTGTTTATTATTTATTAACTCATATGTCTAGTACAGCGTCTTCATCCAGACCAATCCCCATGTGTGACAAAACAAAATGAAATAAGACAAATGACACTAGCACAGAATATCGAAGAAGATTGACACATATTTACAATACATTAACAATAATTATACTGTCAGTTTTCTTAATTAACTGATTTATCATTTAGCATAAAAATCAAATCAAAATTCTCATAATTTCTCAGAGCCCTTAAAATAGCTAAAATAGCATTAAACCCAAATAGCCTATAGTCTTTTTACTATCATTTATGACTACAAAAAGCAGCCAATTCTCACATTTGAGAAACTGGAACCAGCTAAATGAATGGCATTTTTGCCTGCCAATCGACCAGTGGATCAATAAACGAATAGTTTCAGCTTTACCGCAATTCAAAAAGTAAGGGCTGATAATTGTTATTTTTCAAGGCTGTATTTGGTTGTTGTTTTGTACTGCGGTTGCAGTAGATAGGTCATATACAGTAATATTGGACCTAACATTGGAGAGCACTAAAAAGTACAGGCTATGAGAAAGGAAGTATGTCAGTAGTGTTGAGAGCCTTTAATGGTGTATAGATTGTTGGAGAGATAGTGAGCTCCTTTTGCACTGTTGGGAATTGGTACTGCTCTGTTAATCTAATATAGAAGTCTCCAAGCAATATGTGATTTTTCATGTGTAGATGTTTGATGATCAACTTGCCCTTTGTGCTGCATCTGATTTTATAGAACAACACTATATTTTTGCACAATAAAAGTGTTGTTATTGTGGTTGTGCTTACCTTTAACAGTGTTTGGAACCTGCTACCTGTGCCTGCTGTGGAGGCTGCATGTGTTTTAGTATAAAACAGATGAATTCACCTCCGTGTGACACAAACTGAACATTACAACTATCTGAAAGGCTGGATTTATTGCAGGGCTGTTGCATTGGATTGCATTAGATTGTACAGGTGTACCAATAAACAGGCAATTCGGTGTAAGATGAAAATGACAGTTTTTGCACAGTAGAAGGGTCCTTAAGATGCCCGAGGTTTTTCTTTATACAGTATATGTGTGATAGAAAACCCGTCTAGAAATATTCTAAATAGAGAACACCAGAAGTATGTTTAATAATTTACACAGATAGTTTCCTCTCTCTTTCTCTCTCCATCTCTTTCTCTTTCTCTCCCTCTGTCTCTTCCTGCCATTTGCAAGGTCAGTGGGTGCAGAAGGTTGGGCTTTAGTTGTGTTCTGTCGTCGTCACTTTCTCCTCGGAGCTGCAGGCTGCGACAAAGAGCCGGCATATATGAGTGCCGCCACAAACACAAGACCTGTGCCAGCCACGGAGGAGCAGCGTTCTTGCTTTGCGTTTAGTTTTAAGTCTGAGTATTAACTGAGTGATAAAGGCCGCCTGCTTGAGTGGAAGCTCTGAAACGTGCGCGAGCCCACAATATAAGGGGACGCACTTTTACTCCGAGCCTATTCATTTTCCAGCTGACGTGGGAGCGGGAGCGCAGGCTGAATTGTTAGTTTGGTATCTCTCTGTGTGCCGGGAAGGAGAAGAGGGAAGCGGCGCTGACCTGCTGGGATTCTAAGCCATCCCCGTTATTATCATTATTATTATTATTTTTTTTTCAATCAAGACCCCAGACTCCGGCTGGCTCCGCTGTGGACAGACTATACTCAGAGCGATGACTGTACTGAATTATCCACCGGCTCTCTGTAATTTCTCCGGCGAAGACAGCCCCACCACTACCACCACCACCACCACCCGTCCTTAGAATAAAGCTGCTGTGAAACAAGTCAGCACCGTCGCCGTTGTCTAACAGCTGGGATTTATACTTTACCATGTCTTGAGACACGGAGGGGAAGCTACACAGATGATGGCAGTGAGTATATAGGCTCGGTTCAATGGCACTGATGTTGCATCCAGGCTACTTTTAGCTCGTCTCCCGGGGCAGGTTTTATCCACGCAGCCGGTGACTTTAATTTTGACCGATAATTGTGTATTGACAGGGGGTCCGTCTGGTCACAGCTGTAGCGGGTGTCATCCGCCGTGTGATATAGGGCGTTTCTGTCACCGCTGTTGCCGGGGGATATCAGGTTCCTCCTGGGACTTTTTGGGGAACATTACATCATTTGAGTAGCCTATGAATGACTCTGCAAATTGAAGGAACGCGCGTGTATTTTCCTAATGTTTATAACCTGAATAACGTGTCATTTTCAATCAAATGCATCCATTAAAATAAATGACAGCCTAGGGTATATGTTGCCAGATGTAATCATGGAGCTGTCATGCGTGTACAAATGCCACTTGGAGTGCGCTCGATGCACGCAAAGACTGGGCGTATGCGCGATGATGTCCCCTTACAAGGCATCTAGAGATCGACGGGCAGAGTTGTGAGGGTAGTCTTTGACATAAATTAAACTCCCCCCAAACACCCGCCCGGCTGCGGGGTGGGGATCGGTGCAGCTGTCAATTTGCATGTATTTTGTTGGCCAAATCCAGCCTGTATGGTCTGCCTGCGCTTCGGTTAATCCCATAGCGGATCAGCTTTACCGCTCCAGCCTGCCTTCTTGCAGCGCCTTCCCCTCTCTCTCTCTTTATCTCCCCCCCCCCCCCCCCCCCCCCCCATTCACACATACTTTAAATGATTGCATTATATTAATCGGGCTCGTGTGACCATCATGTATTGACGTGATGATATCTGGAAACCAGGCGCTGTTTGGAGGCAGCACAAATCGGGATAACACTTCAAGAAAAAGGATCGATGACCGAGATTTGAAACGCGATAGCAGCTTGGATACTCCGCTTCTACTTAGCGGTCTTCCTACTTTGGAGAGGAAAACCCACCCAGTTCCTGAATCCGGGTTTTTTATAGCAATTAATGGGTGACAAAGCCACGATGACGGGCCGGTTCATACACGACAGGGACTGGTGACCGAGTAGTGATCCAGCGCGTTTCATGAACACGTCGGTAAGGTTGTTCTACGCTGTACAGATAAATTGATACGTTATATGATTAATCATGCAACATTTTGAGCCTAAATATTACCTCTTACAAACTCGTGACCGCAGTCCTTTTTGCTGTAAAATACATAGTCCAAGCGATTTCGAGTATTAGGCCATAACTAGGCTGGTAATGTGTGTGTGTGTGTGTGTGTGTGTGTGTGTGTGTGTGTGTGTGTGTGTGTGTGTGTGTGTGTGTGTGTGTGTGTGCCCTTAAATCCTCCCCCTTCAGTTGTAAACCCACCGGGGCTCCTGGAGTTCTTTATGTCAAGAACACACAGATTGTTGAAAATGATCCCAAGGGCAGTTTAGTTGTTATTACTCTCTCTAGACTGAGACTAACAAACAATCATACATTCTGGCACCGGTCTAATTGATGAGTGAGTAAAATAATACTACTGAAATGCAACTCTCCTTCTGGACACAAATGAAGGTCCCAATACCCCTGTGGAAATGCAACGTGTTACCAATGTGTTTTTAATACCATCATTTTAACTGTCTAATGACAACTTCCCACCACGTCAAGGCAAAACGTGGCTTTTGTGGCCCCATTCGTGCTCATCCCCTGCAGCACCTTCGCTTCTATTCTCTTTGACCTGTTCGCATTTCACAGGGAAATGCAAAGTTTCTCAGCACAGAGTGGCTCATGTCTGAACACTGTATCAGCAATTTGTGTATCTAGTCTCCAAGATGCTGAGTCACATTGCTTTGCCTATTTTGTGTATTGTACTTTGACGTCAGCAGCCAATGTCTGGTCAGGTGCGATCTAGTAGCCATAACTCAAGAAAGCTTATTCCCATTAGAATTGCTACTGTGTGTTTTGCAGTTTCTCCCTCTTGAATCTTCTGTAAGAGGCAAAACTACCTCATGGTCCAAACCAGTAATCAGCAATCTTCATAATTAATTTATTTTCCACAGCAGCTCATAATGTGGATCACGTAGGGAAGGTGTCGTTAATTTCTCTTTGCCCTGAGAGAAATTTTGCTGCTCCTTGCTTTTCATTAACTTTTAAAAGTGGTGTGAGACACTATGATAATGTGCTCCTGTGGAGAAAAGACTGATAACTCTGCAAGAGAAGGCTCGGGTCAGGCGAAGATTTGTGGAGGGTTGTAAACAACACAAATGTTTTCATTAGCTGCAAACTAGTCAGTCAGGCAGTGATTGGGGCTCTACAGGAGCAACACAGTCAAGGTTAGACGACAACTCTGGACTCATCTGTCCATGTCACAGTTTGGTGTGTTGTGTATTGACACGTCAGTGTCATTCACTCTCAGCCTTCCTAACACCCTGTTTTGTCCCCATGGTGCTGTGCAGATGTAGTAGTAGGTGGTGGGATAATATTCTGACACATCCAGCCACACAGACTCTGCCTTCTCTGTGTGTGTCAAGTACTGCACAAGCCCACACTCACACACATTCACATTTACCATTACAGAGGAATGCAAAAGGAATGAGATTAACAGTGAGCGTAGTCTAGAAAGACTCTGAAGCTTTGGAGCAGTACAGCCGTAGAGGGGAAGACTAGCAAACAAATCCAAAGGAGACTGTAACTACAAAATTCTGTGCATAAAGGAAGTTCCTGCGGGACAGGAAGTGCTTTGTGGTCGCCTGTCTGAAACCACAACACTGGTGTGACTAATCTAAGTCTACACACTTCCCCAAATTCTCTTTTAATTTTCCACTTTTCCTTCCCCCGTCCCTCCCTCATTGTTCACTCTGTCCAACATAGAATATATCTGTTTCAAACCCGCCTTTCTCCTCACATGTTCCTGTGTCCTGTCCTCAATCTCATTCTTTCTCTCTGTTCCTTTGTCATTGCAGGATTACCGGGAGGATGGCATGGACCTGGGGAGTGATGCATCCAGTCGCTCCAGCTCAGAGTCCAACTCCAACAAGGTTACACCTTGCTCCCCTTCTCTTGACCTGGCCACTTTGGAGGACTACAAATCCTCCCCCTCTCTGGACCTGGTCACCTTAGAGGACTATGAGGAGGACGAGGACTACCAAGAGTATAAGAAGAAGGTGATAGAGGAGTGGGAGAGTGAGTATGGAGAGGACTACACCTCTCCACAGCCTCCTGGTCAGGAGGAAGGCGGAGGAGGCATTGTGGGAGTTGACGGCCTTAGCAAAGGCTACAGGAAGACAGTGAACAGTCGCAGCCTCGCCGAAGAATTCCAGGATGTGAAGACCGTCCCGCCCCTCCCGGCCCCCGGCGGTCACACTGCCACCTCAGTCGCAGCCGTCCCCGAGGAACTGAAACAGAATGGCAATCTGATTTTGCCCAGGAGCAACCAGCTCCACTCCCCCGGTACACCACAGGGGGGCACAGGGACTCCCAAGCCCAGCCACCGCAGCTCCAGTCAAGGCAGAGGGAGCCGCAGCAGTGGCGGGGGTGGTGGTGGAGGAGGTGGAGGAGAAAGCAGTGGAGGGACTGGTGTACGGATGGGAGGATACAAAGAGGAGGAGGGTGTAGAGGAAGAACCTCTGCCAACCATGGACTGGGCAGCCCTGGAGAGGCACCTGGCTGGGCTGCAGTGCAGAGAGCAGGAGAATCAGAACCTCAACCACAACCAGAACCACAACATGGGCAAGACCAACTACACCTCAGTGAGTGTGCAAGGATTTTACACTTTTCTACGTGTTCCTGTGGGTATTTTCAGATTTCCCACGTACTGGTGTGCCTCGGTAATCCAGCAGTTATCCATGTCAGATGGACCCTGGAAACATGAGGTTAGGTTAGCTGCAGTAAGAAAGGGGGATTAGTCGGCTAATGTAGCGCTAAGCTATGTGGCCCAGCTATTAACCTGACCATCACGGAAGTCTGGGCTCCACAGCTGGAGGGAAATGGAGGCTGCAGGGGCAGCAAGGAAACAAGGTTTCAAACAGACATCAACAGGAAGTACACCGACTCAGAGAAGCTCTTTAAGTCCGACAGTTCACACAAATTGACAAATACACATTGCATCTCTTTGAAATGTAGAAATGTCACATGTCATCGTTATAAGTAGGAGTCATGTCAGCACATAGTTGTGATTCGATGAGAGTGGACAGAACTTTAACTGCGAAGATTTGTTGCTGACCTTAGAGACTTGATGTCTGTGAAATCTAATTTCTAAAAATCTATACATTCTTTGCCATGTGGCGTGTCTACCAGAAGAGGTCAGTGTTGCATTGACTTTCCACAGTGAGTTGCTGCAGGCCTTTTAATGCCAACACCAGCAGCACCACTACTTCAGGCTGATATGATTCACTTGCAATCTCATGACATCACTCAGTTTAAATGACAGTCAGAGCCAGACTTTTGTGGTTTATTGTCAGTCTGCGGGTCCAGAAGGGTGTAGCTTTAAAAAAAAAAATATTTGGGAGAAGCAGGAGAACATTTTTTACAGCAGCCACAGTTTCAGTGCAGACACTTGGCTCTTATGTCACTGAGTAAAACTAAGCGAGGGCAAATGTGTTTTGAGAGAGGGGGACTGGTGTTCTCTTTTAGTATGCGAGCACCAAGACCTTTTCCTCAGTGCACACAGACAATGGCTGCAGCCAGTGCCATTGTGAGTGTGTTGTGTGTGTTGTGTGTCTTTGTTTGTCTGTCCTGGAGGCCCCCTCTGTCTCCCTGAGGCATGTCAGGAATGCAGCGGGAGAAGTGGGGGATGAGAGGAAGGAAAGAGGGAGGAACAGACAGGAAGATGGTATCTTTAAGACCAGGCAGATCAGGGCCACGTGGCTCATGTGTTTGTGTCAATGTTCATTACCTGCTGTCCATCTTAAATGGGAAGGTCACCCCCTGGTTTGCTTTAGTCTGGGGGATAGTCTGCTCTCTGTCTCTCTCTCTCTCCCTAGGCAGTGCGATGTGATATAATTGACCTGGGTGGAAGAAAATCTCATGAAAGAGAGCCTCTGTCTCCACATGCAGCCCCTATCTTGTGCGTGCACACACTCAAGCACACACATTCACACATATGCTCACCGCCATTGATACATTCTTGGTCTCTGCTGGTGTCTCACATGTGTGTACATGAAGGTAGACTAAGCCTGGTGTGGTAGATAGAGATAGACCAGTCTTGATGGTGATAGTGCCACAGCTTCCAGCTGTCTCTCCTATTACAAGGAAAAAGCAACCCTCAGAAAAAATGGACCTCAGAGTTCGATGGCCCTGCATAGATAAGAAAATGGAATTAGCCTTGTAATCCCACCTGTGCAGAGAGCAGAAGAGATACACCAGAAAAGACGAGAGACACACGCTCATATCACAGACAATCCCATTCTTGAAATCATCATGTAGGTGCGATTGCTACTTCTGTAGATGAATGCCCGTCATATGGCTCATATCAGTACAATCAATTACTGAACTTCTGATATGTTTTTCGAATTTTTGGTTAGTTTAGTCCTATCTCTGACTTTCTGCACTTTGTAAAAGAGGACAATGGCAGTCTTGACCTTCTGCTAAACTGCTAACAAGAGCATAAAAGCAGTCAAGTGGCAATTTAGGACATTCCCACGAGACATTCTGGGTCTCTTTCTATGTCAGGGGGCATCTGGATTTCTTAATTCTCAAATTTGCAGGACTTAGCAGACACCCTGGAGGAAAGGGAGGGCTGGTGCTTTTAAAATGTTGTTAAATATTTAGACATCCACTCAGGCGGGACCCACCAGCGAGACGGTGCGTGTGTTCATGTATAGAGGGGTCTGTCTGTCTGGGATGTTGCCGGGGTCCAGTGGGACAGTGATATTCATGCTTCAGTAGAGCTTCAAAAGCATCAGTGCTTTCAGAAAGATGGGACATACAGAGAAGCTGAAAGTTAATAATGTGTAGCAGTCGCTGAGTGCCTGGAGACTGATTTTGGCTAGTCTGCCAGAGCTACAGAGTTTTTCTTGTATGTAAGTAATGTAAAAAAAATGTTTGGAGCAGTCAAATCAGTGGTTCACCAGACAGACTCAGACAGACAGTGCATGAGACGGGATCCACAGTGTCTGTGCGTACTGGTTGTCCTGTTCACATCTCCATGGCATTTGCAATAGTTCCTTTTGCACTATCTGGTAGAGGATAGGGTTAAATTACAGCACAAGGTGTCTTTGAAAAGTTTTTTTGCCTACATTTATTCCCTGAAATAGTTTAAAACACGTTTCATAGAGGTATTGATTTTTGAGCTGTGGGCCAAATTGTAGATTTATAGAAAGCTTTCCAGATTCCACTGGATCCCCTGCCATGAAAAGCTTCATTTCTCCTGTATGTCGTTTAATCCCCAGCTCAGTTTTGTATTAATGAAGTAGTCATGTTATTGCAGGTGTGTTTAGTTAGGGTGTGGTTTCATGCTGCTGTAATCTCAGCGTCTGCCTGCAGGCTGTGGGTGTGGGGTCAGGAGGAATCATGAGGATGAGGGTCATGCTGATCTGTTCGTAATGTGTTTCTAATGAACTCTGGAGGCGCGTGGCAGAGACGGGCCCACAGGGACTTCAAGTACACCAAGGGGTAACACTACCCTAAACCGCCATTTAGCCGCACACCCTTGGAAGATAAACAATAATATTATTCCTCCGAGCCAGTGTTGAGGTAAAAAAGGCAGAGATGGGGTCAGTCTACACGTATGGCTGTCTGTACTCAGAACTTTACCTGTGTTGTAGAGTGCATACCGAAAAAGTCTTAAATCTATGCCTATAGGCTACTTCTTTTTCAATCTCAGAGTGCACACACCCAGCTTTACTCACACTATGTAAAAACACCCCATGGGCAAATTGTGGACCTGTGTTGGGACCTGCAGCATCATTCCTGCTTTGGAAGTGTTTCTCTCTCTCTCTCGCTCTCTCTCACTCACACACATACATAAACACACACACACACACACAAACACACAACTAACAACTACTACTTGTTCTACTTCTACTGAACGTATCCTAATCGTGCCTGAGCATTTACCATACATGTGAGTGCATCATTTCATATCAAGCACTGAGCAAATTTGTCAGCAGGTAGACTCAAATACAGTCATACTGTTATACAGATATAGGTTCACACTCTGACTCACTAATGCTTTGTGACATGTCTGAAATCCATATACAGTACAATCCAATCATTAAGCATACTGCCCCTAAACAACCCACCAACACTTTTGTGTTCTCTTTGTACATCTGTGAATGTCACTCACAGCAGAGATCTACAGCGCCAGCTTATATTTCAGCACTGCAGGACTGTCTTCTCAAATACTGACCCCGTGTTATAAACTGGACACAAAGATTTTAGAATGGTCTAACAAAAACACTCTGTCGAGTTGCATTCGAGGAAGTGTAGGATCCATTTTTTTGGAGTATTGGAGTTTAGGGAGCAGCTTCTGCTTGACCACTTTTTTTTATATGCGTGTGCGTGTCTCCCAACTTTATGTAAATGCAATATATAATTGCTAGAACTATCTTCTAAATTGGTGATAATATAATTGGAAATGGCATATGACACCTAACTTATGTTACATGTGAGACTACGAATGACCAAAAGTTCATCAGCCTTTGAAAAGTTGGACTACCTCTAAAAGTATACGGATGAGGCAGCTTACCCTTCTCCGTTTCCAGCAGTCAGAGGAAGTAGCATGTCTATGAACATCTACTCAATAGGAAGGTGCTGCTCAAGCACACCATATATACAGTAAAAAGGCCAAGAGCCAAAACAAATTGTGGAGTGCTCTGCCCCAGAAAAGCACTCAAGGGCTGTGGAAAATAAATGATGAGAAAGAAGCAGAGAGACACAGAGAGGTTAGAAAAAAGAGCAAAGGCAGAGAGCAGTTTCCACTCTGCTCTGTGATTATGTTAAGTTCAGTAGTTGAACTGTGCTCACCACCCTCCACTAACAACCTAACTGCTACCTTCACGCAGTACTCAGACTATGCCACGTAGAGGGAGAGACGGCGAGGGAAGGAGAAGGAAGAAATTGCAGGGTTTGAGTGCGGTTATAGTGGATATAAATAGGCACAAACAATGAATGTCAAGCAGTCACACTAGAGTTAGGTCCTGAATGGGGAAAACAAAGCAGGCATGCCTGAAAAGAGAGGTAGCTGGGATGAAAAAGAACCTGCGGAGGAGGAGGGAGGAGAGAAGAGGAATGTGGGGTGGGAAGTTGCAGGAAAAGATAGTCAACGTATATATGGTCAGGAAGTGGGAGGAGGCTTCAGAGATGGGGGGGGGCAGGGCTTAAACCAGGTGTGGAGCGCGCCTGCTGAGGCTCTGGTGTCTGGTTCAGCCCCTTAAGCTTAACCACAGCTCCTTGTGTGTGTGAATGTGTGCATGTATATGCCGGTACCAGCTGAAACACGCCCGGCCCTCTGCACACTAAAACGCTCTCACACACACACACTCCTCACACAAACTGACTGCACTGCCTCTGCCTCAGAGTCAAGCAGATTTCTGCCTCCTGTTAGTCCATATACACACACTTACACACACACTCACACACACACACACACACATGCGCACATTCACCTCACTAAATCAAAGGATATCTTTTTCTTTTCATGGTATCCTGACAGTCTGCCAGTGTTGGTAGATGTTTTTTTTCTTTTTCTTTTTTATCAGTGGAGTATTTTTCATCTCAGCTTAACCTTGGATTCCTCACAGCAAGTTGG